TATCTTCATGACGATGTTGGGGTTTATGGCTACGGACGCAACGAACATGTCAGTGCCACTGGGCTCCACCACACATCTGCGAAGTCGCTCCTGAAGACCATTGACCAGAACTTTGGGACTCTGGTCTTCGCACGCCGTCAACTTGAGCGTTTGCCTGGTGTTGAAAAGTATCATCTCGGCATGCGAACGCTAGTCAACAGTGGCATCGTTGAAGCATATGCACCGCTTGTAGATGTTCCTGGCTCCTTCATTGCACAATTTGAACACGTAAGTTATGCTTCTTCCCAAGATACATGTCCCAACTGACTCAATATGTCCAACAGACTGTGCTACTCCGGCCCAACTGTAAGGAGGTCATCTCCCGAGGAGACGATTATTGAAAATCTACACTTCGCTGAGTCATAAACGACTTCAACAGTCTCTATGATGATATTCTCACATGGTGTTTCAACACACTTTGACTCAATATTCGCTGTTTACTTTTAGTACATATCACGCTCTTTTAAGTAGCTATTGTGAATCATATGACTCCATCAATGCAATCTGCGCATAAGAGGTTTATCATTGAACGTCTGCCGAACAAGACAAACTGATTAAATTCGTAGACACACATCTAACGAGCAAGGCTAAAACTGAAGGGCTAAAAATTCGTGACCAAGGAAGAAAAATATAGTGCCCTCATCCAAATACCAGCGCCCTAACCTCAATACTCTCCCTGCCAACCGCGCCCTCCGGTGTGCGAGGGTCTGTAAAAGCTGTGTGTGGTACGCGTCCCCATTGGCCTACAGTCTCGTCACTGTCAAAACATTTGAGAAGCAGACGGTCCTCGTTCTTCATGCCAGACCAATAGTACCACTTCTGCCCTGGGTTATATGCTACAGCTGCGGTCTGGCCGTTGCGATTGGGATAGCGATGCTCGATGGGTACCAGATCACCATCGCGCACTGTTTGACTATCGGCGACTGCAAGCGGGCTGCCCATGACAGGTCCGTTGAGTGGACGCCAAACGTTGATGATACGGTAACGACCTTGCAGGAGTTGTCCGGCTTCGTCAGGCAAGTGCAGCTTGACTCGTTCAGCGGCCGAGGAAGGTGTTTGGTCGATATGTACGCGTTGAACGGGGTTGCGGTTACCAGTCGGTCGGCGGATTGTGTGATCGAAGAGAAGTACTCTTTGTGCGCCTTGTACGTTCTTCAAGAGTAGATTCTCCACCTCTGGGTAATACACGCGTTTTATTGCGTCGTCGTCTTCAAACCCATCCCTGTCGAGCTCGCTCTTAATGTTCTGGTATGTGTCGAAGGCGTTGTTGTCTAGCGTAAACTTATGTTCTTGGCCTCGTAGATCGTTGAGCTCGACCTCGGTCCATGCATCTCCCCAATTCCGTTGTGGCACGCCTGGAAGCGGCTCAACGTAGTTGTGTGGTGGCGCACCATCCTCTGGGGCTTTGTAAAAAGATAGCGATGCTGTGACGGGGCCGCGAGGAATGGGTAGGCCTTGATAATTGACATCGGAAGAGGTGGTGTGGTTCGAAGTAGGTGTTGGGTTGGAGAGTTGGTGTGCGGGCGTGGGGAGGGACGCGGTGGTCGTCATTGTGGTAGCTGGAATGCTAGGTTCGTTCGCAATTGAAGTAGAGACTATACTGTCGAGAGGTTGCAAGGGCACAATCGTGGAGGAAAATGGCGGTTTGCTGGATCAATGGCTGTGCAATAAGTTGTCTGAGTATGAATCGGGAACATGTACAGATTGGGGGCTGTTATATACGCCTACGCGATTAGAAATGATTTCTACTGTTTGAGGTGTCAGGTCGCCCTTCATCCGCCGATGTTTCCCCTCATTCGACATCTCTGTGGCGATGATGCCATAGCTCTATTCCCGAGGCCAAGACTGTATTACTAAATCCCTGTCGTCCAATGATCGCTCATATGCTGACAAAATACACGTATTGCGTGCCGAGTATAACCATTTGATAATGCGCGTACGATGTTCTAGTGGTTAAGATGGTGGTTTGTAACAGTTCGCGTGGTTTCTAAGCCATGGTCACAAAGGCCATGGGCCGAGCGCCCGGAGACGGCGTGGAGATGATTCGGACTGAGGATTGCGTCATAGCCGCAGATGTGTGGCAGCCTCTACACCATCACATTTTGTTCAACCTTCAGACATCTAGAATGTGGTATTGCCTGTACATGGAGTTGATCTGAACAGTAATTTTTTTTATCGCATCTACTCTGTTGCATTGGATCCGTCTCGTCGCCATGCCTAGGGACAACTGAAGTTATGTGGCTTTGCATACCTAGGTATGGTATAGCTAAGATAGCTTCACAGCGCCTGTAGTCGTCCAAATCAATGGTAGTTTTGATCGTAGGGCATATGCGCCTCATCTTTACATAGCCGAGGCAAGGAACAGTGTCCAGCACATCTAGTTGCATCTGGTATCTGGCATTGCATCTGGCCTTAGCTCGCTCCTGGCCGTGATTGCCGTTCCACGAGCATTAGTCGATGCTAAGGTATGCTATTTGTTGGTGGCTTGCGCTTCCATCATTGGGAATATAGGGTTTCAATAATTGTATGCGCTCATAGTATGCATCGACCCATCGCGCCAGTGCTTAATTCGTTGGACCCCATCTTGGAGTACTCATGCGTCGTCTCAACGTCATCATGTTCGCATGCGAACGGTGACATCGCTCATCCACCTTTAAATCGCATAAAGGAAGCAGACATTACAACCATATCTCAACATGCTCAGACTCTTCTCAAGAAACCTTCCCACAGCTACCAAATCTATCACGTCCACAATACGAACAAATCAATTCATCCCAAGGACTACGTACCAAATCATCAGAAATATGGGTAACGGCAAGGCCAACACCGAGGACCTCAAGGGCTCCAAGCTCTTCGATGTTTCCCACGTCACCGCTCTCGTTACTGGTGGAGGAACTGGTATCGGCCTGATGATCACACAAGCGCTGGTCGCAAACGGTGCGAAAGTATACATCACATCTAGACGCGATGAAGTTTTGAAAAAGACGGAGGAGCTGTATGGAGGTGGCGGTCCAGGCCAAATTATTCCTCTCCAAGCAGATGTCAGGTAAGCACAATCATGTCCGATTTATGGAGAGTGCGGCGCTAACACTACCCAGCGAAAAGGATGATGTCAAGCGTCTTTACGATGAGATGTGTCAAAAAGAGCCAAAGGGAATCCAAATTCTGGTCAACAACGCTGGTATCGCTCGTGATGACAACACCAAGTTTTCCGCAAACGGCCAGCCAAACATGGAGGACGCCCAAGCCATCTCTGACCATTTCCTCAAGTCCCAGCCCGAGAACTGGGCCGACACCATGAAGACTAACGTCGGAAGCATCTTCTGGATGTCAATGACCTTCTTGCCTCTCTTGGCCAAGGGTGGCCAGGTGACTCCTGGATACACCTCACAGGTCATCAACGTTAGCAGTATCTCAGGGTACATGAAGGGTAGCAGCAACGGCCAATTTTCTTACGCGTCTAGCAAAGCAGCCGCCACACATCTGAGTCGCATGCTCGCAACAACCTTTGTTGGTACCAAGGTTCGGGTGAACACTATCGCTCCTGGTGTCTTCCCAAGCGAGGTATGTAGCCTTACTCCATACAGCTTACCAGTACATTATTTGAGCTAACACCACATCCAGATGACCACAGGCTCTTCCGATGAGGACAACAAGAGCCGCATTGAATCTGGCATGAGCAACCCTGCGGGTCGACCTGGTGCTGATACTGACATGGCTGCGACGGTTCTCATGCTGGCTGGACCAGGTGGTGTATTCTACAACGAGCAGGTCATGTACCCTGATGGTGGAAGCACGCTCTCGCAGCCCGCAGCGAGGGCTTAAGTGTCTATCACCCGTGAGCAGCCTCGCGGATATGAACTCAAAGACTACATATCGTGCTCCTAATTAAATAGTAATAATGGAGAATGTATGTTATAATGCATTGTGGTGGTTCTTTTTTCCAACAAGCACTTTCCGCGTTGTGCCCCACCATGCCGAAGTGTTCCGACAACCCCACCACAAGCGCAAACTCTTTCATGCTGCAAAGTTTCTACCCATACCAGCATGAGGATTGATTTTGGAGCTTTTGTAGAGAATGGCGATAAATAAGAGATCATGATTTTTGTTACTCGCCTAATCACCATCAATCAAACAACGGCCTAATGGCCCAATGGCAAGGCGCTTGACTACGATTCGTTCGATATCAAGAGATTCCAGGTTGTAAGTAGCACTTCAAAGCGCAGCCCGTTCGATTACAGACACTAACTATCATCCAGCGACCCCTGGTTAGGTCACAACACGTTGTATATAACAACTTTTTTGCGGTCTTGTGTTCCATGACCCTGTTGGGACACTAATGCCTCGTCCGATTCTCGGACAAGAATTCACGCATCTTTTTGCTTGAATTCTGTCCTTGTCTAGCTCTAGGACAACTGGTACACTCCCCGCCCTTGATAATTATGTGTCAGCCTACAAAATTAGCATGCATTCACACAGGTTGTATAGATCGTACAGATCTCGACATAAGAGGAAGTATTGACATCAAGGTCAGAATGTAGAATTAGGCAACACAAATCAACCTCTAGATGACATGTTATTCTGCCAATCGGGCAGCCATGCTTGAACAGGGATGAGAGAAGCGAGACACCAAAAGAGATGCATGTTGTACTTCTCACTGAAAGCACTAGTTCATGGAGTCGAGTCCAATACTGTACATATGTTTGTCGATATACACGAAAGTAAAATTACTTGCATTTCAACATGATTGAATTACACAGCCGTATATACGAAGTGACATCACATTCTGGTCTCTGCCACAAACCAATTCTAGACGGCTGTCATAGCTATTTACTCAAAGAATTGCAATACAGCACTCAATATAGCTTCGATGCCCGTAGCGCTTCTGTCGTGAAGGATCTCTTCAAGATTCTGCGGAGTGATCGCAGGCCTTTTGTGCTTACTGTCCAGCAAGAAGTCTTCTAACCGAAGCAGTTTGCTTGTTGCTTCTTCCCAATCATCTTTGGCGACGTCATCAACACGTTGTAATTCCACTTTGATCTTTGACGAGGAGCATTAATGGTACCGGTGTTTCCGTCGATTGCATCAGTGCCGTGAAAGTGAGATGCTACCATGTGGAGAGTGGTGACAGCCAGGCGTGGAAATTGCGGAGTCGGCCCGGTCAGCTTACCCTTCACGGTAATGTTGGATGGCGTCTTGGCGCCTCCAACGCGGACCTTTTCAAGTAAGCAGCAAGGGTAGGCGTGGGATCGCCGCAGGGCAGCCGCCCGTCAAACTTCAGACGCGACGTGATACTGCAGTGACACCACCATGGAATTCTACGCACACCGCACCGAACAGAGGCTGGAGGTGCAGTACTTAGGTTCAACTTTAATCCCCAATGACGCCATGTCGTAGATCTCGGCGAGGGCGTGGAGCCGCCACCTAGCGGACCGAGACGCTTTTCAGTCATCATGGCTAAAGATGCAGCGTCTAAGCCATTGGCTGCGCTAGCTTTCCAGATAGCAGCGGGAAGCAAAAGTAATCCTCGTTTGTACAGATACTACTCGGGCATCTGTTCAATGCGCCGGCCGTGTGTCTTGTTGTTATCTTTGCCTGCTCTGCTCTGCGCCGCATGACATGGCCTCGAACGGACAGCTACTTGCGCTGCACAACTACTACGGGACAACCGGCTATGTCTCGCAGCCACCGATGGCCGCGTCTAGGCCCAAGCTGCAGACGGCAGAGCGAGATTTGGCATCTCTAACGCTCCTCGACGCCCTCGACCGCGACGAGCGCCCTTCATTCGCAATCGAAACCTGTCCGTACCTGCGCCGCGACGAAACGCTCGACCTCATATATGCGAACACGGCGCTGCACGCCGTCGGCGGACTGCTGGCCAAGGTATCGGGCAACGATGCAACAAGCCTGTTCACGCAAAGCTCGGCACCGCAACTTGCCTTCAGAGACTGGGTTCGCGGCCATGTGAACGAGGATGATCTACAACGGCGCGGCAACGCGTATACGTTCGAAGGCCATACATGGAGCGCCATAACCCTAGGGCGATACAAGATCGTTAGCGGAGTGCCGACGCGGTTGCTGTGGGTTGACGCTGCACCGGGAGGAAAGAGCCACCGCACCATCATGCGCGAGCGGAAGGCGCCTCGAGGCAAACCTCGCGCCGACGCTCTACCCATGAAACCCCAGCTGTCGCTCGCCCACGCACCCCAAATGTCCGAGCCCAGCACCAGCTCTTCTCCGGACTCATCCGCAATCAACAACACGTCCTTTGACTGTACTTCTGATGTAGTCACGGGCGTGGTGAGAGCCAGCCCGCACATCGATTATTTCCGCAGTGTCGACTGGGCCAAGACGCCGTTGGGACCAATGACTTCATGGCCCTGTGATTTGCGTTGTATAGCCAACACAGTATTGAGCAACAACGTACCTGCTGTCATGTTCTGGGGTGACGAACTTATCATGCTATACAACGAGCCGTATGTTCAGCTGCTTGGCAGCCTCCATCCCTGCATGGGCGAAAGTGTTTGTATCAAGGCACCCGATCACTGGACTTCTTTCCAACCCATGGTCGACCACATCAAAGCCACTGGCGAATCCGTAGCCGAACCCGATATGCTCCTCTTCATAGAGAGGGACAGCCTTCTCGAAGAGACGCACTGGTCCTTCCAATTCGTACCTATATTGAACAGCCATGGCCAAGTGACAGCCTACTACCAGACGTTTTACGAAGTTTCCAACCATTGTATCCTCGAACGCCGTGTCTCAAGTTTGGTGGCCATGGGTACCCAAAGCGCAAATGCGAGAGATTTCCCATCGTTTTGGGATACTACGTTGCGCTCTCTAAGCTTGAATGACAAGGATGTACCGTTTGCCCTGTTGTATGCTGCTGAGCGACATGTTAGCGCTCAAATACCCTCAATGTCATCACCGGGCAGCATCCCCCCGCTGGAAGGTTGCATCCTCAAGGGTACCATTGGCGTGCCCGTCGGCCACCCTATCGCCCCTGCGACTGTCAATATCAACCAGGACTCGTACATTCTCCACGCATTTCTGAGTCGGGCTGCCAAATCTGGGAAAGCTACTGTTGTTCATCTCAATGACCTTCCTGCACCAACAACGGCATTGGAAGGCATTGACTGGAGAGGTTATGGTGACCCTTGTCGTACATTGGTCATATGTCCTATCATTCCAACGACAGGAAATCAAGTAGAAGGCTTTCTCATAATTGGCGTCAACCCTCGCCGACCCTTCGATGATGAGTACCAGCAATACCTCCAGGTCATGGTGCGATTGCTCGCCACGTCTCTTGCGTCCATTGTTCTTTTCGAGGACGAAGTCCGCCAAAGGGAAAACGCTATCATCCAAGCTGCTCAGATTCAAGAACACCTCATGGCTGAGATTCAACTCAAAGAGAGCAAATTTCAGCGCTTCGCTGAACGATCGGACGTAGGCATCTTCATCATCGATCCAATAGGCACCTATACCTATCGAAACCAACGCTGGTACGATATGTTTGAAGTTGCATCTTCTGACACCAACGCCACCGAAGCCTGGTACAGGATCGCTTTCGCCGAGGATGTGGCTTACTGCCAATCTATATTCTCGAAGCTCGTCACCAATCATGAATCTGTTTGCTTCGAACTACGTACGAGGATGCCATGGGTGCCGCCATCGGAGTCCAACGAGCTACAATCTGAAGACACTCAGCACTTCAAATGGATTCTATGCTCAGCCTACCCTGAACTGAGTCCGAATGGCGAGCTTGTAGAAATCGTTGGAAATGTCACAGACATATCAAGTAAGGAATTTGCGAATGGGTATTGAGGTGAAACATATACTGACATTTTACACAACAATTTAGAGCAGAAGTGGGCCGAAGGTATCCAGAAGATTCGCACCGACAGTGCGCTCCAAGGGAAACAGCACCTGGAGCACTTTTTAGACACAACAAGTCATGAGATGCGAAACCCTCTCAGCGCCATCATGCAGTGTGCGGATTCCATTACATCGTCTTATCCTCAAGATGATCGCAATGGCGAACAAAATATTACACCAACTGAATGGTCAGCTTTCATAGCCTCCACCCTGGACGCTGCTCAGACTATAGGGGTTTGCGCGACCCACATGAAGCATATCGTCGATGACATTCTCACTATTTCTAAACTCGATTCCGGTCTTCTAGACATGACACCGGTGATTGCGCAGCCCGAAAGCGGTAAGTCTTGGATGCACGAACGCATATCAAACATAAACTGACTTAGCGTCTCCATCGCTGTAGTGGCGAAGCATGCAGTAAAGATGTTCTCTGCGGAAGCAAGAGCTGCCGGCATCGACCTTGTGTTAGTCGTGGAAAAATCGTACCGGGACATGAACATCGATTGGGCGTCTCTGGACCCAACGAGGGTGCTGCAGATCCTTATCAACCTACTCACAAACGCCATTAAATTTACACGCTTGGAATCAACTAAGCGAGTTACGGTCACCCTCACCGCAAGTGCAACCGAGCCCGCATCGTCGTCAGCAGGGATACAGTTCAACGATGAGAGACTGGTAGGACAGGACTCTCATTTGGAAGATGACTGGAAAAGCGTGCAAGAGCTATTTTATCTCCAATTCTCTGTTACCGATACTGGTCGCGGTCTTTCTGATGAAGAAAAACGTAGCCTCTTCACCCGCTTCTCGCAAGCCTCACCTCGCACGCACATCCACTACGGTGGATCGGGCCTTGGGCTATTCATATCGCGCCGTCTGACCGAACTGCAGGGCGGTTCGATCGGTGTCGCCAGCGAATCTGGAAGAGGTAGCACGTTCTCCTTCTACATCAAATCACGTCGAGCCAGACCAGTGATGGCACGGAAAGGCAGTTTACCCCATGTTTTCCCTGAAGATATCAAACACAGACAGCCAATACCGCTCGTAAGCCTGACACGCCCATCTCCTCCTGTGTGCAAACCCGCAAGCGAGACTGGTCCACGATCTGACTCTGCGAGCCCAAAAGCACGACGCCGATCGATACAGTCAAGATCATCGCAGACTGAACACTCTCATGTTCGCCCCGAAGCTCTTGGGCTACCAGAAGGTCCTAACTTACAAGAATTGAAGCGCACAAAAAGTATACCAGATACGCTACACGTTCTTGTAGTAGAAGACAATCTCATCAATCAGCGTGTTCTCGCCAAACAACTGCGCAATTTAGGATGCATTGTCAGCGTCGCCAACCATGGTCAGGAAGCCCTTGACTTCCTGCCAAAGACCACACTTTGGAACAACGAGCACCCCATGTCGGATTCGATTGCACTAAAGGAAATATACGGCATCCCATCCACAGAGCCTATACCTAGTGGTCACCACGATGCCTTACCTGTCGAACTGAACCTTATCCTCATGGATTGGGAGATGCCTATCATGAACGGGCTGACGGCTGTTGCGGAGATACGAAAACTTGAGGAACAAGGTTTGTTGAGGGAGAGGGTACCTATCATCGGGGTCACAGCGAATGTGCGCCAACAACAGATTGAGCAGGCCATGGCTACAGGCATGGACGATGTTGTTGGCAAACCTTTCAGGGTTGCTGAATTGCTAGTGCGGATGAGGGGGATCGTTGCAGGGATGGGGCCCGAAGGCCCAAATGGCAACGCACATATGACGGAGGGGTATGCGAGCTTCGGGTGAAGCAAGAGCGACCTGATCTCAATTCACAAAAGACGAAGTAGTGTTGACTAGCTTCGGATTAGGGGCCCAGCCACCACTTAATCTGCATTGATCTCAAGGGATCTTCGACTCCCTTGGTGGCTTATCATGATACTGGACCACTAGAGCCACCTAAAATCGCTCTAAACGTCCGTATCGACTTTAGCCAGCTATCTTCATTACCCATACAGAACCGCGAAACAAGAAACCGATATCTCACACGTACAGTTCCATAGCCACAGCTTGTCGAAGCCACCGTGGGTAAAGACGGACCTCTACCTATCCAGCTCAAAAGATTTGTCGCTACTAGCAACTCGGAAGTTGTAATAGTACATTTGCGTTTGCAGATGCCATCAGAGGAGGTAGTGGTGTGGCTATGGTATGGTCAACAGATCGACTATTGCATGTAAGCCAAGGCAGCTGGTGTTCATATCTTGTTCCAATAATGCCATTATAGTGCAAGCTGGTGGCGGAGCCATAGCCACCTGCGTTGCGGCGATGATAGTGGGTATTACAAGAGAAAGTG